AATATACCTAACATGTATTACACCAAAAATTCTATCACACTGTCCTTAAAAAGCAATTTAACCCGTTCGCTTATAATTTTCTTCGCTGACTGTGCATGCAAATTAATATATCGTAGATTAATTACACTTGGTGACTCTCAGTCCTACATATTAACGCGGAACTTATTTTTGTCGCGCGAATTTAACTCGTTGCTACAAGTCAAAGGGTTAAAACTATTCCATCGAAACGTCGTAATGTTTTAATCAGCATTTCTCTCGACAATAAATTCATATATTCCACGTGCACGTAACTTGCAGTATCGAGATTTCGTTTCGATTCACTAAACCCGTGAAACGATGTAATTGGTACATTTTATCGATGCAATCGATTTCTAAATGCACGGAAATGAGCCTGTATATTGACACGCAGACACGTGTGCGCGTCGTTTATGGCTCATTTAGGTCAACTGCCTCTTGTACTGTTGCACAATAACATTCGGCCGATAGCACTTGAACCTGTTAGGATCATTGTCTCGAAGGATCGTGGGGGCTCCTCGTTCACGTAGCTTTTTCTCCTATTCGTATTCCGGTCTGTTCCTGCTACGCCCTTTTAGGCTATTATACTTCAGCCGAGAACGTCGCTTCGTCGATCGAATATGAACAGTTCCACGTGGGAAATAAAGAAGATTTAATATCTAGTTGGAGCATTCCACGAATAAAAGTTTCATTTTGCGCCCATGTCACTGTACTTCGTTATTGTGATCTGTTCTATTCCTCCAAATTGATTTCCCCGATAGATACCTTACATATACGCTTCTATCTTCGTTGGGATTTCAATTAAAAGTCATTTTTTAACGAAGATTCGACTTGTCCTTTGAAGCGAGCCACTCGGAAGCCAAAGTGACCAACTCTGTCGAATGAAATTTATCAGATTTCTTTCACTGGTGAAAAGTAAAGCACCAAGTGCTTCGATACCGACATTGGAGGAATATGAAAAAGTGGAGTTAATCATTTCGACTTCTCACTGGCTGAAATAATAAAGAACGTTAGAACGTTAGAGTATCTCGTTGTGATGTTGATGAAAGTTCGCAAGTTTGTGGAATATTCATTCGCATCGTGGGTAAAGGCGCGAATTTACGAGGAAAAGTGTCTTAACTATCCAACACTGTCTCAGAGATGAATGAAACTGTGCGAGTAGAAATATGAATACGAGTTTAGAGCAAAACTTCCAACGATAGTTTCAATTGTACACGTTAACGTAGAGTATGTTACAAAGAAACTTTTCTTCTATCAGAAATACGTTTCGTTTTATCGTAGAAAAATTTAGCAACGGAGTATTCCTAATTGAACAGGCGTAATTAAACGTCAAAGACACAAAGTGTACAGTTTGTCCCGCAAACGTTTGTTTCATTTAAGTTTGCCGCGATACGATCGTAAAACTTACTTTTTCCCCTCGTCCTACGTAATTAGTTCGCAACAGCGCTTCGATTAATTGGCAGGCGTTCATGTTGGTTCTATCAACGCGAGACAGATTGGGTAGTCTCGATAAAGAGACAGTTTCTATGTACTGCCTTTAGATAAAACCTTTCCAAAGCATCTGCATTTCTGAACGATTAATCTTCGAGAAATCATTTGAAAGGCAAAGAACCACCTGCTGTACCATTTAAAAAAAACAAACAAATGTAAAACTAAACAAGCAGAATTTATTAAAAATTATACGATATTATACCATTAAAAAACAAATGTAAGATTAAACGACAAGTATTATAGAATGAATTCTACATAAACACAAACGCCATGAGAAATAAATGGAAATTGTGAAACAACATTTTAACAAGAAATTTCATTTTTTTTTCATCAAGTTAGGTATAATAGAAACATAACACACTTTATAGAGCGTATGAAAGGAGTAAAGTCACACCTCTCTTACTATACCAACATTTCTCCTCTTCGTGTTCCGTCGCAGTCTCGATAACACAGACACGAAACTTAAAAAGAAATGTCGATTAAATATGCTCAAAGTTCTCCAGCATCGGAAGTACTTCATATTCAACCTGAAATATCTCGTCTCTCACAGTTCGATCATTTATGCGTGTGTCGCTCCTTCAATGTTCGCCTCTTAAGCGGAAATCTCGAGGAATGAATTGATATCGACGTTAACGTTTACCTCTGTATTAATCAAGCTTATGTATCTGATCGGTGTCGTTTAAGACGGACAGCGAGCAGTTTTGCTATCTCCTACGATGCAATCACAAAGGGTGACAAGGGGGATCCTTTGAAATCGCGTTGAACGTCAGGATTGCAGAAATAGACCAGTAGGCCTGCGGTTAAACTGAAAGTGAAACGCAGCCAGCTCTGAAGTCGTGTGGCGATGGTGGCGGCGATACGTGGATATATCGAGGCCACGTTAAATTGTCAAATATAACCCGACACGCTATCGTATATTTTAACGAATAATGCCCGAGATAACAGCGTCACGAGCGTTTTAGATAAATGCCCGAAATGCTTTAAGAGTTATTCGCGTTTTACGAGCCACTCATTCAAAACAGTCTCCCACGATCCAGCCAGTTCGAACTTCCTTTTTCATCTGAGATTTATCGTCCATTTTTTCGTATCCCATCTTAATCACGACGAGGTGGAGTATTTTTTTAATATGAAAGACGTTGTTGTGAGAAATTCTGGTACACGTTGTTGAATCTGTAGCGTTATGTATTATTTTATTTTTAAAACACCACGTGGAATAATGTTGATAATTGAAAGAATACTTTGTAGAATACGGAAATGTTTTACGAGGTGATTGCTAGTTGAAAAGTGTTATGCTTATTGTTTGTACCGTATGATTTAGGGTCAACTAGATAGTATGTCCACAAAAGATAGGTTGACGTGGCTGAAACTTTCCTGGAGATATATGCCTTCATTTTCTGCACTAGATATGAAAGTAAATTGAACTTTGCATAAGTTCGGGGCATATAAAAATCGTCATAGATCGTTTCTTCTGTAGTCTCAACACGATCAAAAGTTGCACCAAGCACAGGCTTAATGGTTGTAGCAAAAAATATTATCATACGGTGGAATGATAAGAATGAAGTGTTACAAGTAAGGTCATCGATCTTTCTATTCTCGACGAAGGCGTAAAAAGCGTGTATGCAATTCCAATTAAAAAATTTCAATTTCCTGTTTCTACGAAATTTTTGCCCTTTTAGTGGTAACAATAAAATTGAAATATTACTATTTTATATTTTTTATCAATATTCCTTTAGAATATATGCTTGAGTTTTGGGTAATTGTAACTTTGAATTTTAAAAATAAGACATTTTACTTTCGACTTTTTCTTTGTAAACGAAAGGCTTCCCAATAGCGTAGAACTGCTTTGTAGATCATTCTTTAGATAGGCGCACACATAAGAGTGTAACTACAGAAGTTGTCGTAAAGTCGATATTTTCGTGACTCGAAAATTGTAAACGTGAGTTGTAGCGAATAACAGTTCCTACTATCGCAAACGTCTATCATTGAGTGCATCTTTGTTATACATGAAACATGAAAGTGCATTTCCAGGAACGTGCAACTTTGTTAGAATTTTACAGTGTATCTATAAAAATAACATGCTTACATTTTCCAATTTTTTTTTTGAATAAAATGTTTAAGCAATCAAAACCTCTACTACTTGAAAGATCTATCAATTTGTAACTTTTTAAGGATTTTATTTTTTATTACAGAATTATGCATTTCTTTAATATAGATTTCATTTCATTGTTAAATATCATGTCCTTCTCAGCTATGAGATTAGATTAGAAAACTAATATTATGAAGGTAAGTGGAAGATGTTTATTGATCAGATTGGCGTAATCAAAGGATGGTATCTATTTTATCCAAGTAATCACGTTTTAAAGTGATATCAAATTTTAAACAATACAATTTTATAAGTTTCTACACTATCATTTTATGGTTAAAAAAAAACAATTTTTTTTCTATATCTATTACTACAGGAAGTTGGTTCTTCTATGAACTTAGGGATCTCTATTAATTAAGTGTAAGAAATCCCTCAAAATCTGCAAATTTGTCAAAGAAAGTCCTTTCAGTAATGATGTGATTTGTTGAATTAATTTCCTGTCAATATCTTTTAGTCCAGCTGAACATGAGTTTTGTTATCCTCAACTTTAGTAATTAGAGGACCAATGACCCACTGTCTTGAAGAATGGATGTCGACAGATTCCTTCATCCAGGTGTTACGGGCACTTGCTGGAACTTAAAAGAATCGACAGACTCTTGAAGTTGCATAATGACATTGTAAATACTGCCATTACTTTCTTTGGTGTCTTGAAGGATATGATTAAATGACACAAATGAGGATTTATATTGGGCTAGAAACGAATGGGTATCATGATGATTCTGCTTTAGCAATTCCTTATATTCTTTAAGTTGGTTTTGTTTTTCCATAATGATACCTTCAAATCTTAATTTCTCATTGGGCTTGGGATTCAAGTCCAAGATTGTCTTCAGAAAATGGATTGGATTTATTATATGAGAGTTGAGATTATAATACTTAAGAAAGGAGTTTAGACTGGAGATTCTTGACAATTGATTGGAAAACGAGTTAGCCAGCTCTTGCTGCTCGGTCGGAGTTTTAGAGTGGTGACTGAATAGATATTGCTTTAAATAATTGAACTTATTTGTCAGGATTTTTGAATTTTTGTTCTTCAGAGGGGGAGATCCGGTAGTTGAATTGGAGTTGAACTGGAAAGTGTTAAATTCAGATGGTGAAGGCCAGCAGACCCATCTGACACCATATCCTCCAACAATTCCACTGGTAAAGTTATTCGCAGTTCAAATATCACGATTTTGCGTTTTATGAGATGTCTCTCCAAAAAAAAAACACAATTCAAACATGACGTATAAAGAACATTGTAGATTCGCCACCTTGTGACGAAATTCTTCAACGAGCTCTTATCTTTAATACCTACTGAACAGTCACCATTGACTTTATTTTCTACATTACCATTGGAGCTTCATATTCAAGCCATTATTGTTGACAGTTCTCGGGGAAAGCTTCCTGCAGCTGTTGCGAGAAACAAACGCTCTTTCTTGTTACAGCTTTTCGACTGTTTGTTTTCCCTGAGGTATTTGTACCTTTGTTCGTAGATAGTGATTAGAGAATCTTAGAGAATAAAGCTGCAGTCCGTACGAAATTCCACTGTAATAGAAGTCCAACGCAGAACGGAGAAAATGAGGTATTTATCGTAAAAGTGACTTTCTTTATTCCCGCGTCTCTCCGTTTTAATATTTCGTTCTCATCTTTATTGTGCGTGAGATCATTATTCACCTGGATAATTCTCACGCTTTTTTTTTCTGGCACATTGCCAATCGTTACACTGCCGTGAGAATGGCAGAAGCAACAGCAAAATGGATAGAGGGAGAAACAGGCGGGAACCAGAAAACATTGCATTAACTGTCATGCAGAAACCGCCATCTTTTCCACTGACGTTTCTCTTTGAAAGTGGGCTTCGCATTATTAATTATTTCATATCTTTTCTGACACGTCAAGTGTTTTCTAGCTTGCTCATACGTTCCAACTTTCAGGTAATAATCTTCCAATATCGTGATTCGTTGCAACCTTCGAAAGAAAGGCGTTCTTGGAAAGATGTGCGTGAAACGAAAGCTAATACGTGGCTTCTGTGACACAGATATAGACCCTTGTATACGATGAATTGATTGATTAATATTAATTTCCCTCTCACCAATTGTTTCTTTCATTTCATATATTTGATTCGTACATATGTAATTTTGTTTACTGTTATATATATAGCAGAAATTACATACGATATCGTTATGTGAAGTAAAAGGTTATATTTTGAGATGTATTATAATAAAATGGCGTCGATTTCCTTCTACTGCATGGACTCTAGATATGATTGTAACAGATGTCAATGAATTCTAATAAATATTTTTGTTTCCTTTTCAATTTTTGAATTTTTTATACACATGTTTCACCCTTTTTGTAGTTTTACTACTTTTATTAAATATTGATATTAATTAAATTTAGCACTTTCTATTTCGTAGCTATGTTTATTTTAATTACCACAAAATCGTTAAATCTTAAAATAGAATAAACCTACTAAACGTAGAACACTAATTCGGTGGAAGTCGGCGCTTTTGATATGGAGACGAAGTCTAGCATTTTACTTATCTGTATATTTTAAATTTTATTACTATTTTAACGATTTTTGTGAAATATTTTTTTTTATAGTAGTAGATCACAAATGACGGCGATGAATGGGAAGAGACCATCCTCGATCCCATCGCGACATCAGTCTGAAACTGTAGCTCAACATTTTGATTTAATCAAATATATCTATGATTGTAAGTATAATATTGTTTTGCTACTTGGAATTAAATTTTTTCAGTGATTAAATTTTTCGTATTTATTTTTACAGCATGGAACACAGTATCAAGGGAATTAGATATGTGCCACAATCAGCCACATAGTAATTCTTCTAATTATAGAAATGGTGTATCTGTTACGTATTATCAGGAGCGAGAACCAAACCCACAACTTAAGGGTAAATATAATCATTGTTATGTACCACTTTTTTTGATATACCTTAGTCTGTACAAATTTCTACTTTTGCTTTTACCATAGATTTTGAGCCGTTTAACCTTGAAGCCTGGTGGGGACAGCGTGTTGTTCAAAGTATTACTAGGAATACGAATTCCTAGTGCCAGGCTCAACACATTGATTATAACCGAACATTCTCAAATAGACATAAGAAACAGAAAGGATAAATTCAGAGCTGCCGGAGAAAATTTTTTTCCATTTCTAGAAACAATTTGTTGTTTACTCAAAAATCAGTGACAAGAGGAGAATAGAATAGGTATAAATAAGTATCTAGCAATCAATTTTGAATCTTTTTGATAACAAAGATAGGATATTAGCAAATAATCAAAGATAAAATGACATTCCTCTAATCTTTTATCGTATTTTAACATAATATCGCCTTTTCCCAGACCTTTTTACTCATCGTGTTTTTAAACGTATTTTACATAAAAGATTGGAATTAAGCCTGTTTCTGATATTGTCGTTCTAAGATTTGAGATTCAGCGCGATAAATAATTAAGAAATATAGTACATGCTGAAAATATTTATTTTATTTGCCAAAAAAAGCAAACGTAATTATAAGAAATAGTTTATGATAAATCAAATTTTCATTGTTACTTAATGAGAAACATAGAATAATTAATAATCTTTTTATCTCTTTGTAATTAAATCTTGAATATGGAATGCTGAATTGCGATGATAAATGAATTATGTATAAATTCTATATATTTCAATGGAAAGGATTATATGAGGAAAGAAGCTGAGGGTCTACCATTTAAGATTTATGCATATATGTATTTTTCCACGAATTGCATTTCACATTTTTAATAAATTTTTCCATTTAAACATGTTTAACGAAATCGCACTTCAATGTAAAGAAAAGAAAGGATAAGTATGTTGTAGAGTGCACATCTATCTTTGACGAAATGAACAAATATTCAATTTTTACTCCTCATAGTATAATAATTATTACCATTTTAAATACAACTAAATATATACAATTATGTACATTTATTATGTATGTATGTATGTATTGTACATCTGTGCGTGTATAGTTACTCTATAAAATTCGACACATAACCTTTTTAACGATAAGTAACAATAACGATTAACATTTTTCTAAACTCGTGGACATCTTTACCAACTGCTCCTAGTGTTATTTTTTTATGTACAATTGAATAGTAAAAGTATTATTGTAATTGTAACGGCAAAACCTAGTTCGATACCGTTACGTGTTACAAATATCGTTGTAATGTTAGGAATTCGTGCACCACAAACAAACGATAGAAATCGCTATGCACAGTGTTACTGAGTCAATACCTTGATATAATTTAACATCTCGTCGTCAGCAAGCAAATGCGAGTTCTTGCCGATCATCGTTTCAGCTTGATTTAATGCGTTAGATTTTAAAGCCTTGACGGTTCGTTCCAAATTACAGAGACTTCTCTCTATCGCACGTTTCTCACTATTGAGCATCTATATTTGATCGAAGAATCAAAGTTCACATTTTGTACCAGTTGTTCTAAAAAACTTGATGTACGTTTTTCAATTGTATTGTACGAAATATAGCATAAGTATATAGACAATTCAATTAGTGTTATGGTTCTCGCGGGAAATTTTTGTTCACAACGGTAAATCATTAGGCTTCTGGGTGTGAAGTTTGTTCACAATGAAGTTAGCTACGATATAAACGAGAATATGAAAATAATACACCCGGAAGTCTGAATTAATACGAAATATCAATTTTTTCTCTCTTTCAACGACGGATTTAAAAATTTTCTTTTACACATCGTGTAAGACATTATTTGTCGCCATTTTCATCTTGGTAAATAGTCAAATCTTTAAACATACAGTACGAAGTAAAAATGTAGAAATTCCTTCACTCACCGTTACTCCAACGTTCAAACGGGAAAACGAATTTATTCCGGTCAATGCTGTTTGCGTGAAGTTGTTGGAAGTTTTCATTTTCATCGTCTGCGTGCTGCACGGTACTCCTGTCTGTTTGACATTCACGACTGCGTATATATTTTTAAATAATATCAACATTCTGTCGGACGATGTCACTTCGTAGTCGTCCACGTTATCGACGAACTCCATTCTAACCGCTGTTTGATCGTCGTTATTTAACAAAACAGGATATTTAATTTTTATTTCCCGATCGACCGAAAATTTAAATACGTACTCTTCGTACGTTACACCGTTGAAGTGCGACTCGATACATAACACTCTACCGCACTTATCGATTGTCGAACTCTCGATATCGATCTCTCTACTTCGATTATTGTTCTTTTGCGCGCCAGTTACCGGACATGTTTCTTTTTCGTCGCGTACGTGTTTCTTCGTGTGGCAGTCGTTATTTCTACGAATTAACGGGTTTATCGAATCTTCCTCCGGTGGTGTGATATTTTTATTAAAACTCGTCTCGTTGTTCAAATCGGTATTGAAATTCGCAGAATTTCTTTCAATTTCGCCAGATACACGTTCGTTCGTGCGTTCGATTTCCCTCTTCGGAATTTCGTCGTGCGTTTGTCGAATCGTCTGAAACTTTTTCAACATATTTTCGTGAAAGTTACAACAAATGTCGCATAAGAATGTGTTGAAAATTGAAGTGAGTGCGATTAACAATAGTGGTAAGATGAAGAAGTGATTGCAAGTTACACTCGTTCGAGCAATTTACGAGTGTGTGAGTGACGTGGGACTAGCACCACGAGACACCGTGAAATTTTTTCGAGAGGAGGTATTCACGGAAGGGAAAAAGAGGTAAATAAAATTCGTACACCTTCGTAAATTTCATCGAGCACGTTCGCGATATCAATTTCGGTAAGAGTGTTACGTTATTACCTTTTTCTCGACGGGCTCGTCTATTTACGATTATGCGCGTTCACATCGGGCGAAATTTATGGTTAAAAGGGATTTCCACGTGGAAAGGAAACGGAGAAAAAGACTGGGCATAAGTTCTCGATAGCGTAATTTTACTGCTCGTATTATCGGCACTAATATCGCCATGAATGCACATATCGCTTTTTCACTACGTTCACAAAATGTCGCATTTGAAAATGTGCATTTTATTGTTGGATTTTTATTTTGCACGTTCCCCATTTTTATCGACATTTACAAATTTTTATTTTATATTTATCTTACATTTCTTACTTATTATGAAAACACTATTTATTATTAAATCCGAATTTGTATAGTATATTCATTTGAATACTGAATATACCGGGTGTTTCATTTAACTTCATAACCTGAAATATTTATTTAATTAAAATTTCATAAAAATGTTTCCTACAAAAATTGCATAATATTGTAGTATATCGATGAATTCGTCTTTGAAGTGGCTATCGTGTACGGAATAAATAAAATTTAGCGTTTCGTTTAAAAAAAAAATGTTGATATAACCTTTCTCAATAGAATAAAATAATTTTCTTACGAAATTTTAATAATGATAATTCGATTCCATTAAAAAAAAAAAACAAAGTTGATTTTCTTATCTCATTAACTCTTCCCAATAGAATATAAAATAATTTTTTTACGAAATTTCAATAATGGCAGAAATATTTCAATTTCATTACAAAAAAAAAGAAACAAAGTTGATTTGCTTATCTCATTAACTCTTCCCAATACAATATAAAATAATCTTATGAAATTTTATTAATGTTAATTCATTTTCATTAAAAAAAAAAAACAAAGTTGATTTTCTTATCTTATTAACTCTTCCCAGTAGAATAAAATAATTTTCTTGTAAAATTTTAGTAATGGCGGAGATATTTCAATTCCATTAAAAAAAAGAAATTGACTTTCTTATCTCATTAACCCTTTCCAATAGAATAAAATAATTTTTCCCGAGATTTCAATAACAGCAAAGGTATTTCTGCTGACAAAGTTAGACGAAACACGCTGTATATAATTTGTCTCCGCATATTCTCCATCCTTTGACAGCAGACCTAATTAAGCATTCCACCGCGGTAGATCGTCTTGAATATTTCAAGCCGGCCATGCGTCCCGCGTTACTGTAAAACCAATTTCTCAATTTACAACGTTCCATGCTGCGAATTAAAGGCCAGCGAAAAGCTGGGAAATGTTGAAAACGAAAATAACGGAAGTTTGGAAGTGTAGAACTTGTTTCCAGGAGAAAAGAATGCACGTAACAATATTGGCTCGATAAAATTTCGACCAAGTCGTACGTATGTTATTGCATAACGCGTCCTTTATGCAAGTCTAAATTGACTTTCGCGAAACACTGAAACTGTTTTGTCCCTCCGTGTAGCGCGCCACTTATCGATTGAAGTATTTCGCATCTACATAGTCGCACCGAAGCAAATACGTGAAATCTAGTTTTTCCTCTTTTATTTGTACGGAAGCGAAAGAAGAAAATATTCCACGACGAAAATAGGCAAACTGTGGGGAAAAAGATTGTTTAGCTATTTTTGTGCTCGTGCAGACAAAACGTGGCGGTATTGAAAGTACAAATGAATATGCACTGCTTTCTTCTGCAAAATTAAGTCGATATAAAATCTGCGCATGCGCGCAAGCGACCCGGGCTGATCGGCAATTGTTACCGATCCTGAGTTGTTATTCTAGACATGGAACCTCCGCCACGTGTGTGGTTCGATTCTCAGTGCTCTTAATATTGCAATCCATGCTTATTCTAGTATATACAGGGTGTCCCGTAACTCCTCGAACACCCGGAAATGGGGGGTTGCTGGGGTGACTCTGAACAACTTTTTCCTTTTCCAAAATACAGTTTGAAGCTTCGTTTTCGAGTTATTAACGAAAAACACTGGCCAATTACAGCGCGCGTAGAGCCCGCGCTCAGGGGCGGAGAACAGAGGCTATTTTCAGACCTTCGCTATTTTCTTCACGATTCCGACTAACTGCAGTTTTTTCAAAAATTTATGCAAATGTCGGAATGACGGCAAAAACCCATTTCTCTAAGCCTTATAAAAATAGCGGTGCAAAGT